GAAAGAGAGAGAGTTTATGGATTATTGGATTATCAATTTAGAGTTGTTTGGGGAGAGAGAAGAGATTACTCTTTGTGGTCACTGTGTCATGTTTAAGCAGAAACCTTACAAAAGCAGTTTCATTAGAGTGTTGGGGTAGAAATCAGAGAGCAGCAGGCTTGGGAGTCGGTTGAAGGTGAAAAATTAGGCTTAGGGAATAAAATCTAACATTTAAGTAACTTTGGTTATTAGTAGGAGGAGAGAAAAGGAGAAATAAAGTGCTGAATGTATTATTACCAACTTCAGCTGAGCACTCAGGTGCCTGAGGATCTGTATTCTTCTAATCAGCCAGCTCTTTCCTTCCCTGAAGTGACTTATTCCTTGCTGTGTACACTTCCCTCAGATTTATAACCCCCTCCGTCAGCTCTCATCTCATTCTGTGGTCCTGTTTTGTGCTTCTCAGAGAACGTGCGTATGGGAGTCTCCTCAGGCCTTGCCGTCCATGTGTATCTGCCTTTACACACGTTTTCTCCTCCGTCCTCTCACAGTTGTACACTATTTGCTGGAAATGTAGTTTGTGTTTATATATGGATTTAATTTGTCCATTTGATCTTTGACGTCTGATAACATACATACTGCTTATAATAGGAAATAGGCCTTTTCCCCTCCTGGAGTACTTAATAACACCAGCTCCACAAAAAGAGAATGTAACCAGTTAAAGTCACTTATAATGTGATTAAAATACTTTACTACTTCAAAATATCTGAGCTCAGAATATATTTTACACTAGACGTTGACCAAATCATCTGGGAAAAGCCAGGATATTCCAGATTTCACTTAAAGTTAGGGTTTGGTTTTCGATTTTTTTGCACATGTCATTAGCAATATTCAGTGACCCTTGTCAGGACTTGTCCAGAACAGACATAGTAATGTTTCTATTGTTAATTTGACTTCAGAAGTGATAAAGCAGCCCTTTAGTCACTTTGGCACTTGTGATGATTATTGTCTACTGTTTGAAAAAGAATTATTCACTTCTTCACCACCTTGGTAGAGCCCATGTTGTATAAATATAATACATATACTAAATATGGGGCTTTATGGATGGCTTAAATTATAAATTTAAATAAACAGATAAAAGCAGGAGACATAAGAAACAGATTCGAATGTAGAAAAGGGATACATGGTACTGTTCATGTTAGTTATTCTTGTGTCCATGGTTCTGGGGTCAGAGGTGGAGAGAACGAGCAGAATAACCTTTGCCCTTGCTTAATTGATTAGTCAGCTTTTTTCTTTTTGAATTTGAGTCTCTTTCCCCAGACTTAAACAATTGGTTTAATCTTTCAGACAGGGGAAAACAAAGGATGGAGTGGTCCAAAGGCTGGGTTTCCTGAGCCAACAAATAACAGTAAGTTTCTGTTTTTATATTAACTACACTTGGTGTTCATCAGTGGTTCAGTGACTTGTCCCTCATTGGGTATTTACTGGGTCTGTTTGGACCTGAGATGACACGTTAAGTATTAATGGGGGATGCACGGAAGTTGTGGTGTTTGCTTTCCTGGAACTGACAGAAGACACAGGTACTCATATCTTTAACATGGTTCAGTCATTGCAGACGGAGTACTGTTTTATCCATAAAGCAGTGATGTTCTTTTTTTATAAGTTGTTTTTGTTGTGACATTATTACAATAGAAAAGAATCAAGAAAGAAAAACAATTATCTATCAGCCCATTATAACCCAACATCAACTGTTTTCACAGTTCTACTTTTTAGGTACACACACACACACACACACACACACACTTTTACATAATTATAATGTAGACGAAAGTTTGTACTGGGTTTCATTTAACATTGTAATACCCACATTTTTCAGGTTGTGCTGAGTCATTAGAATTTTTGATATTTTATTAAAGTCACTAATTGAAATATCAGACATGTAAGAATAAAATTGCTCACAATTTTATTCCAAATATAGTATATCAGACATTTAAAAATCCCCTTCAGGTTATTTCTTTTTTCAGAGGTACGTGATCAAGCTGTTATGCATTGGAAGCATAGATATTTTGCTTAATTTCCTCCCCACCTTTCCCAAAAAGCATCTGTTGTCACTGAAGTGACTGTTTTACTGTAAATCGGTAAAACAGCACAGCCAGCCAGTGAAGACCCCCGTCGAAGTGAAGTCCCGAGTGAAGTCAGATCTCTCTCATTTCTAACCCTAGTTCTCTTCTTCATAACCTTCAGAAGCTGAATTAGCTTAAATATGTAAATCGTCATAATGAAGAGTATTCTTTCACGTTAGCAGCTCATCTCTTGATGTATAATGAAATTTGTAACAAACTCTTATCAAAGCAGCTTATGAGAATTGAATTCTTGGATCATCAAAACTAGCCTCTTGGAGAGACTATTTCAGTGAGGTAATAGTATTCATGAGTTACTTTCTGGGAATAATTTAAATAATGTAATATGACTCTGGGCCTTTTGTCTCTGTATGTAAGAATGATGAATGTGATAGGCTTAGCACATTGCCCAAAGAAAAAATGGAATCAGTTCAGGATTCTCAGAGGGTTTGTTTTTAATTCCTTTGATGTTTGAATATATACGATTATAATTACTTGGTCAAGGAATGTAAGAAACATGCAGTTGATCTCAGTTTTATGTAAAGTACTTAGCACAGTATCTCTTTCTTAGTAAGCACATAATGAATGTTAATTTCCTTCCATGCCTTCTCTCATTTTTTTTAATAAAAATTCTATAATTCTGTGTAAGCTCGCCAAAAATTCCATTCTTATACTTGCTATCTGTCAGAGTTTTTGCATGTACATGTGAACCAAAGAATATATATGGTTTATATTTGAATAGTTACTTTTGGCATTAGATATTTTTTCAAAGAACATAAACATTATGCATTTGAATATGGAAGTCAGATAGTTGTTAACTTGATAGTTTTAACATGAAAGCACATTGTAGATAGCCTCCAAACTCCCATCATTAAACAGTGATATTTTGACCCTCATCTTTATGTCTGTTGATTTTTTTCATAATTTGCTAAGGGATTTGGAACTCCTTTGCAAGTAGGGGAAGAAATATCACAAAGAGGCCAGTGAGTTTCAGTGATGAGAAATGTATAAGAATGCATAAAAGATTTGCTTTAAACGTAATGTTAGAAGTGATAAAGCTGTTTGAAGCCCCCTCAAAATTTAACCAAACTGTTAACACTCTAGGACTTCCTCTGGTCTACAGTAGAGTAGCTCAAACTGAGAATTTGAAAGGAGGATGATCCGTCACCCCTTCCCAGTATGAGGAGGTGAGAAAGCTGATACAAGGTTCTTCTGTGAGTGGCCTGCAGGTTACCACAGACAATGAGGGCAGCCCAGCTCTGAAAATTAACTGTTTCTCTTCCCTAGAGCTAGTTCTCTCTAGTGGAGCCCCCAGGTCCTCTGGAGCCAGCTCGTAGCTACTTAAATACAACTTTAGGAAAAAGTTGGTTGCTCTGATGACTCCGTGACCTAAAAAATAATATGAATTCATATATTATGATAACGTTTAGGTTGAATTCTCTTCTACTTAATCAGTTCCTTAAGTTTGAAATTCTGCCCTAGGTGGTTCCTGTCCTGTGGACAATACCTGTGTTAGTGTTTTGCAGGCAGGGGATAGAGCAGGGGTCTCAGTACGGCACATGTGGGAAGACAGGAATTTGAGAGACTGCCAGAGCTGCCTGCCTCACTGCCATATTGTCTGACCTTGAGCAACTCAGTTTACATCTTATTTTTCAATGTGCTCTGTTAAGAGTTACACATATCAGTTTATAGTGTTGAGTATCTTTACTTTTCTAGCATTCGTAAAGTGATTAATCATCCTTGAATAACATATGAAAAGGTAACATATTACTTTGTAGAAAACAGAATGTCATCATAAAGTGACTCTCTTCATTTTTTTTTTTTTGATTAAACTTTACGTTACTTCACAAGTTGTAGTTAAAAAGAACAAATTTTTAGCCAACAATTATTTGGATAAATATTATGAAATTAACTTGGAACCACAGTGTACAAAAATTAAAAGAAGAGGACTTCCCTGATGGCACAGTGGATAAGAATCCGCCTGCCAGTGCAGGGGACACAGGTTCGATCCCTGGTCTGGGAAGATCCCACATGCCGTGGAGCAACTAAGCCCGTGTGCCACAACTACTGAGACTGCGCTCTAGAACCCATGAGCTACAACTGCTGAGACCGCGTGCCACAACTACTGAGTCCGTGTGCTGCCAACTACTGAAGCCCACATGCCTAGAGCCCGTGCTCTGCAACAAGAGAAGACACCGCAATGCGTAGCCCACGCACTGCAACGAACAGTAGCCCCCGCACTGCAACGAACAGTAGCCCCCGCTCACCACAACTAGAGAAAGCCCGCATGCAGCAATGAAGACCCAACGCAGCCAAAAATAAAAAAAAATTAAATCTTCAAAAAAAAAATTAAAAGAAGAGACTACAGAATTGGAAAGGGGGAAGAAGACAGTTTTAACCTGGCACAGCTAGCACCTAACTGTAAGTAGACAAAAAAAGTTAATGTACATGTGCATTTAATTTTTGAAGTGGAAGATATTTTTTAAAAGATTACAGTCATAAGAAACTGCTAACAGTTACAACAAAAAAATAGTTTAAATGGTTTTGCAAGTGATTGTGATTTCAGAGCCTGGTTCCTGGCTTGATTGCCTGCAGATTTAAAACATGGACCTAATTTTTGCATGCTCCACAAGCCTTTCTTCATTGCACTGAATTGCAGAATGTAGACTATTCTCAGTGTATTTTCACCCTGTGAATCACTGTCATAGTCATGTTGAAGTGCAAGAACACATAACTCTGTAATGTGAGGTTTGTGTTAAATTTAGCATGGGGCAATTTTATGCTTGGCACACACGTAAGAAGCTAGATTTTTACAGTTGAATGACTAACAAGTTTTTTAAAAGATCATGCATTTTAAAGACTTACTGACGGCTCATGGAAAACTTTGTAAAATTTTTAGATACAGTTCAGTTGATAAAATCTTTTTTTTTTTTTGTATTCACATTCCATGTTTCTTATTAACACAGGGTTTTACTTAAAAGCAGGTTCACTGTTTCTTAAAGGTAAACTCTAGCTTAATTCGAAATTGGACTAAGCTCAGAAGCATTCACTGGTATGTGCCGAATCCACCCACTAAAAGATTGATCTGAGGCATTTTTCACATAAATATTTTTCTGTTAACCTTTTAAAAAGTTTTATTTAGCCCCTGTGAAATACGCTGGCTCTTCTAAGGTTCATTAGAGATGACCCAAGACAAATACTTTTGGGATGGGAAAGAATTCTTAATAACCTTTTCAGTATTGAAGTTGACTTATCAAAATTTTTGTCACTTTTATGTTATCTCCATGTATTATTAAACTCTGTATATCCTGAAACCAGGAGGATAAACCATCCCGGTGACATGACATTAGAGAGATTGCATGCTTGTTTCCCCTATGCTGTGTGCTGTATTTAGAACCTCTGCATTTTGGAGCGGGGTGGGTGGGTGAAGTCTGTACTTTTAAGAGAATAGATGAATAGATTCTTTAAGTGTTTCGGGAGAATTCCCTGAACAGTTCCCTTTTGGGGCTCCCATAACAGAAGCCACTTCGTAATGACAGTTAAATTAGTTGGAGCCAATAGGATTTAAATACAGAGCCAAATGATTCAACTTAATTATTTATTTAGACATCTAAATACTACGTTGAAAATCTAAGAGTGTAGCTGACTTGTAGCATTCTATTTTATTTTTTCTTCTTCCAGTTTCATTGAGATATAATTGACATATAGCACTGTATAAGTTTAAGATGTACAGGCATAATGATTTGACTTACATCATGAAATGGTTATCACAGTAATTTTAGTGAACATCTATCGTCTCATACAAAGTTAAAGAAGTAGAAAAAAATATTTTTCCTTATGATGAGAAATCCTAATATTTGCTCTCTCATCAACTTTCATCTGTAACATCCAGCAGTGTTAATTCTATGTATCATATTGCACATTACATGCCTAGTACTTATAACTGGAAGTTTGTACCTTTTGACTGCCTTCACCCAGTTCCCCCTTCCTTACCTCCCACCTCTAGTAGCCACATATCTGATCTCTTTTTCTATGAGTTTGTTTGTTTGTTTTTGAAGTATAATTGACCTACAACACTGTGTTAGTTCCTGTTACACAACATAGTCATTAAATATTTCTATAAATTTCAAAATGAGCACCACAGTAAGTCTAGTTATGATTTCACTATACAAAGATATTACATAGTTATTGATTATATTCCCCACACTGTACATTTCATACCCATGACACATTTATTTTGAAGCTGGAAGTCTGTACCATCCTAATCTCCCTCATTTATTTCTTTCCT